TAATTTTGTTGTTGAATAAAAGTTTGAACTTTGAATCAGGGTGTGTTATCAATCTTTCGTCAAATTAGAGCTTTTTTGATGTATTATGTGTAATTGTTTCAAGGGGTTAGTTTCAATTCATGGAAAATTGACAAAGATTGTAGCTTTTTCGTGTTTTAATCGCTGTCCTGTTTCCGACTTTTTTAGGTTTGGCTTTACAAATTTGAGCTAAATTTTGGGTAATTGTGTGGAAGATTGTTGCGTTACGGGTTTTTTTTGCATAATTCATCATTACATTGGAAGCAAAAACCCGGGGAATGCTGAAAGATGTGCCATAGCGTGCCGGACTCTGCCTCACAACTCCATGAGGTTGTGCCTAGAATCGAACTGTCCTTCTTGATTCTTGCTGGTGAGGGACCTGTAAATCAAAGCTGGTTTGCTCTCGGATTCCAGAAGCAAGTTGGGCCTTCTATTATGCACGCAGCGCCAGTTGTGTTAATGCATGACCATTGTGAAGATGGTTGACGGTTGAGCTTCTTGTGGTATTATAAACTCCTGCACTGTATATTGTGGATCATATAGATCGTAACCGCGGGAGGAAATTGTGTATTTATTGTTTATTAGGTTTTGATTGGGATGGAGAATAAATCGCATGTGCTGATGCAAAGATATGAGTTGGGGAGATTGTTGGGTCAAGGGACTTTTGCCAGGGTTCACTATGCAAGGAGCTTGATAACGAATCAGGGTGTGGCCATTAAGGTTATTGACAAAGAAAAGATTATGAAGGTCGGGTTGATGGATCAGATCAAGCGAGAAATATCTGTTATGAGACTGGTTAGACACCCTAATATTATACACCTCTATGAAGTCATGGCAACCAAAACTAAGATATACTTTGTCATTGAATATGCTAAAGGCGGTGAGCTATTTAACAAGGTTGCTAAAGGAAAGCTGAAGGAGGACGTTGCAAGGAAATATTTTTCGCAGCTAATTGATGCTCTTGATTTCTGTCATAGTAGGGGTGTTTATCATCGGGATATAAAACCAGAGAACTTGTTGCTAGATGAGAATGATAATTTGAAGATCTCTGATTTTGGGTTAAGTGCCCTCGCTGAAAGCAAGCGCCAAGATGGGCTACTCCACACCACCTGTGGTACTCCTGCCTATGTTGCTCCGGAAGTTATTAACAGGAGAGGCTACGATGGTGTGAAAGCTGATATTTGGTCTTGTGGAGTTGTCTTGTATGTCTTATTGGCAGGCTGTCTACCATTTCAAGATTCAAATTTGATGGAGATGTACCGGAAGATTGGGAAAGCAGAATTTAAATGCCCAAATTTTTTCTCACCGGAAGCACGTAGGCTACTGTACAGGATGTTGGATCCAAATCCCAATTCTAGGATTTCCATAGCCAAAGTTGGGGAAAGTTCTTGGTACAGAAAGGGACCATACTCCAAAAATATGAAATCTGAAATAGGAAACAAGGATGCGGCTCGTATGAGTGCAGAAGCTTCCGGTTCCAGTGAGAATAGTATGGCTTCTGAGGAAAAGCAAGAACCAGGGAGACCTCCAAACATGAATGCTTTTGATATTATCTCCCTTTCTGCCGGATTTGATCTGTCTGGCTTGTTTGAAAAAGATCCTTTTCACAGAGTAGTAAGATTCACTTCCAGACAACCTGCTACGGTCATCATCTCCAAGTTAGAAGAAATGGCTAAGCAACTGGAGCTGAAAGTGAAGAAGAAGGATGATGGATTGTTGAAAATTGATGGATTAAAGGAAGGTAGAAAGGGGATTTTGTCCATAGATGCAGAGATATTTGAAATCACTCCAACTTTTCATCTGGTCGAGGTGAAGAAATCAAGTGGGGATACATTGGAATTCCAGAAGATGTTGGACGACATAAGACCTGCTCTTCGAGACATAGTCTGGGTTTGGCAAGGTGAGGAAGAGCAGCCACAGCAACAACAACCAGAAATCCCGCCGCAGCAACAAGAACAACTGCCTCAGCATCCTCCACGACAGTAACAAGTTGCCGGCATTCCCATGGTATCTTATTTTTGTTTGTACATTTTACAGTCTGCTAAGTTTTCAACTTTGTATTGTCCTTGCAATTGTCATGACCGTCTTAATAAACTTGTTCTTCTTCGTATATGTACATGACTACAATGATTATGATTGTGTGAAACTCTGATTATTGTTTTCGACATGGTTCTGCATTTTTCGTGCAACCATGTTCCATCCATGAATTTCGTTACCTGTTCGACATCGATTTTCAGCTGGGTATATGCCGCTACTGCATTCTCTTCTTTCTGAGACTACTAGTTGGTTTACCAAAACCAAATTTCTGGTTGAAAGTTAAGTACAAGAGGGATGGTTTTCCTTTGTGTGCCCCTATGGGAACATTTTCTCCTGACCTGCTAGTCCAACTGCTTATTGGATACTTCCAACTCCAAGCGTATTGATTGCAATTGGCAAAAAATATTAGGTGAAAGCGTGGAATATCTAGCCATTAGGATACACCACGTGTGGGATCAGATGTATATACTCAATGCCGATGTGTAGACTTACTAGTCTCGTAGACACGTGTCACAGTTTCAACGGGGAAGAGAGGAGGAGATATCACTAGATCAGGGAGCTTTTTTGCTTACTATTATAATATAGTGCATGGTCGCTATACACTTTATCATTTACTGTGTCTTTTCACTTAACATTAGTTTTTTTTTTTTTCAAAATTGAAAAATGAACATTCAGTAGCATGTAGTTTAATTTCCTAGTAGATAGAATGTTGGTTTCTACTCATGGGTTCTAGGTTCAAAATTGTCCCATTTCTTAAATTATTGTAATAGCTTCGAACATTTTCTCTCCCATTAATAATAATAATTTTCTTTAAAAAAAAAGAAAGAAAATGAAATTTAATAATAAAATTAACCAGAGTTAAGTGAAATGACACGTAACAAATGATGAAGTGTATGATGAGCATATACTATAATTTATAGTGGTAGTTTATAGTGGTGAGAAAAAATTCGCTCCTACATCAGGGTACATCAGGGTGGAGTAGGATTCTCTCCCCTTATATTTTCAGTTCTTGATGTCCTCGCATCCATCATACCCAAGTAACCCCACTCACAATCGCTCAAACCAAAACAACAACAGAGAGAAGAAACAAAGTCCACTTGTTCCTGTACGATCGAAACACAAGAAAACACACAACATTAATCACTTAACTCCATCTCTTCTTCTGGAGTTAGTGTTACTTATGGAGAATCATTCCCTTGTGCCGTTGGGTTTTCGCCTCATACCCACCGATCAAGAGCTCGTTGGCCACTTTCTCTACAACTTTTTGGAGAACATACCGCTATTACCGCCACACAACACCCTTATACATGAGTGCAACATCTTCGGCAACAAATCAAAACCCTCGGAGATTTGGGAAGCCTATGGAGGAACTCAACTTGCTGATGATCAATCGGCCTTGTATTTCTTCTCTGAGCTCAAGAGGCTAAACACCAAGGGTACCGCAAGAAGTTAAAGCTTAATTACCGCAAGAAGTTAAAGAATGAGCAGGTTTTGGTGAAAGAAAGTAAAACTAACTCAAAATGTAAGGCAGCTAAAACCAGTTTGCAGTACTTGCAGTTATCAAAGCAGTGCTGTACAAGTAGAAAGATTGTTATTCCAGGTAAAACTCAAAAGGTTGAACAAAGATTAATTTGCATCTAATTTGATCCCAATCAGTCACATGATTAAAGAATATCTAACTTTAGGCGGAAAGAAAAGAAATGAAGAAACCTGGAGAGCAACGAGTCAGTTGTCAAACCATAGATTTCCCATGGACGCTTTGCCATTGTGCTCTCGCATTTAATGCCTTGGATTCATATTGAATCTGCATGAAATGGCATATAGGAGTCATGAAAGGTACAATTATACAAAGCAGCATCAGGAGATTAGTCCTACCACTAATCTAAGAGGAAACTAATCCCTAGCACAAGAGAAGATACGATTGCAATAAGCAGCATCAGGAGATCATATATTCAAGAATGAGAATGTTGGAACACGGAGAAAGGGACGCCGGCATTGGCCAAAACGACGCCGTCGCGATACTCCTCCTGTTCCCGGCATCGGACGAAGTTGATCTTTAAATTATAACAGAAGAAATCAACAATTTCAATTATGATGTTCATATTACGAAAGATGTTAAATAATAACATACGAAATCAACAATTTCAATTATGATGTTCATATTATGAAGGATGTTATGTTAATGAGGAGAACTTTCCTTTTACAAAGAATGAAGAAATCTAGTGGTATTCATTTTTATTTGTAAGTAAGAGGTCTTAGGTTCATTTCTCGCCAAAAACCAATTTGAACCATTATTATGACTAACCCTGTTGCCTATCCCACTCCCCCACCCTAGTATAGATAAAATATCGTTTATCAAAAAAAAAAAAAAAAAAATATTATCCTTCCTAATATTAAAAGAACTTAAAAAAGTTTCATGTTCAATAATCTATAGCATGTCAAGTTCAATTTTTTTTGTTAGATAGTGTAACAAACTTTTCAAGCTCGTTTATCCAAAAAATAAAAAAATAAAAAAAAACTTTCAAGTTCAATAATGTATTTGACGAACGATATTGTGTATGTGTTCACAGAGGATTGGACTATTAAAATGCCAAGCCAGATATCAACACTTAGAACTAAGTGCATGGGCGGATCCACATAGGTACCTAGTGGTTCCGGGACGCTCTTGAGGTCGTAAAAAAAAGGCTGATGAAGGTCCTCCATGGACTCTTTGGATTTGAGTCCACTAAATGTCCAATGAAATGCATGTTTAGCATATTTCGGTATTATTCAGTAAGATGCCTCAACATTTCTCAACAAGATGCATCACTCGGTAGAGAGTTTCTCGACAGCACTTGGTAGATGTCAACATCTATGTAGCATGGCTTGATAAAGGACGATATGCATTCCAAGTGTCAGACTAATCTCCAATTGAAGAAAAAAAAAAAAAAAACTTGCGTGCTATATTTGTTAAATAAGAAAGATCATTACACTAAGACCCCTCGAATTTTGAATTTTAAATCTGCCACTGAACAAGTTACTACAAGTTTTGAACACTTTCACCACAAACATCAACAAAAATGTTCAGTTTTATTTGATAGAAAACGAGAACGAAACAACGAAATAAAGGCAAACAACAAAACAAGAAATGCTCAACCCTCACGCCCTATGAGAAATATCTCTAATGAAGGCCTTGATGTTGGTATGGGATGATCCACCTTCTGCAATGGCATCATGACATAACTGCTTAAGTTCTCTAGCTCTCCTCCTCATTTCCTTCCCTTCATCATCCTCCAAATCCATAAACTTCTTCATTAAGCCTGCAATCTCCTCTTTTGTCACCAAATGGTCAATTTTGTCCTCAATCTTCCTCACCCTCCACCCAACCTTCCATTCCTCCACAATCTGGTTACTATTCATTCCTTGATCGTAAAGTATAGGTAAGGTAAGAAAAATAACACCAGCAGAAACACCTTCCATAACCGAGTTCCAACCACAGTGACTCAAAAACCCCCCAATACTAGAATGGCGCAAAACCCTCAATTGGTCACACCAAGGCACTACCAACCCCATGTCCCCACAAGCCTCCTTTAACCTTTCGGATTCTCCGCGAGCCGCCCAAATGAACCGAACGCCGCTGTTGCGCAAACCGGCAGCGATCTCATCAATTTGGGCGCTAGAAAATGAAAGGAAACTTCCCATGCCGATGTACAAAACTGAGCTACAAGGTTGAGAGTCTAACCATTGGAAGTAGCTATCATCACTAGGAACTGGGGTAGGGAGGTCATTTTCCTTGGAGTAGGGTATTGGTGGGCCCATAGTGTAAATGGGTAGTGATAATTCTGATCGTAAAACGTCGATGGTTAGGGTTTCAAGTTCATGGAAGGTGGCAGGGAATAACATGTATTGTGCTTTAGGTACCCAAGATAAGGAGTTTAACAAAAGGCCTAGAATCTTTTGGTTGCTTTCATAAACAAACTGGAGGAGGTCCGCTAGTCGTGTCGGAGAAACTCCTGGAATGTAGTCCACACGTTCGTTTCCTTTCTCTGTTAACAATGTAAAGTGGTTATCGTAAGTAGCAAGGCTACACAATAAATAGAAAATTTAAAAAAAAAAAGTGTTAAACAACAGCAAAATTATGTTACTGCTGTCACATACGTAAAATTCTTTGTACTCACTTAATAAGATCTTAAAAGCAATGTTCTCTTAATAGACTCTCACACAAGGCGGAGGCAGCTATATATACTGCCATGGTTTACACTCCAACCCTTGTTTTAAATGAAGAAAAAAGAAAAATAAGAATGGTACTAATAGTCCAACCCTCTTGTTATCATGAATATCGGAAACGTCGAAATAAGGACTTGCATATTGAAAGATTTTATTTCTAATTGCACAGTGAAACCTTTTATATTAAAGCTCAACACTCATTGGATTGCATAAGTGGTTCAGTTATGACAATTTTAATGTGATTAGTGAAACACATGACCAACTCTGAAATCTTGATACTTAATATTTACTCTGTGCCACAACAAAAGAAAAACATTGATGGTGGGTGAAAAATGAGTCATGATTAAGATCAGGTGCAGTGTTTAGGTCATAATATCAATATGTAGTGCCAGTGTGCCATTATGCAATTCGCTGATGTGCATAGATTGGCTTGATTCATTTTTGTAAGAATGTAAGCATGAGTATGAATTTGTGAACTTAGTTACAGGATTAAAGACTGAATAGGAAGTCTTGTTGAGATTGGATTTGTGAATCCATATCGGTGCTGAATTGCTATTTCATAAGAATTGTTTTTCTATATGGATTTTAATAGGGAAATCCTTATGGAATAAGGTTAGGATTATATAGTATATATATGGTGGTCTCTGCTCTCACAGTGTGTGCTTAATTCTAGACTAAGACCTATTATTAGTTGAAAGCCTTTGAACACTCAAGAGAGGAGAAGGTGTGCTGTGATTTTCTGCAGAGATCAGACATGGCAGCCGGTTCAAGTTCATCTACAGGTATGGTTTTCTTCATGTATTGTTTGCTGAGTTATGGTCATATGTTTTGATCACTGTGATTCATGTTGCTAGATCTTGGTTTTATGTTTATTCTAACATGGTATCAGAGCAAGGTTTATAAGTTTATGAATTCTGTAATCAAAACCGATAGGTTCAGATAGCATGAATGATATTTAAAAAAAAAAAAATTGTTGCGGGTTAGGGGACTCAAACCCTAGGTCTTTTGTCATAAGGGTTTTCGAGACAAAAACCTTAAATAAATTACTGTTAAATTTAAAGAAAAGTCCATGCGTAAGGGTTTCTTCTCCATTTGGGGCTTTTCGATTAAGATCACCATTCATCAAAACATGCTTCTTGGTAAAGATTACTTCAACCAATATGATCGATTTGGATGACTATTCTGCTGCGCTATTTTCTAAAATAGGATCTATGAGAGGTATGTTTGATGAATTGCAAATTTTGTCTTTGTCTGCTTGATGTTTCGATACAAGGATTGAGTCTATAGATTTTGTTAAATCTTAAAACTATATGAATTAAATCCGTTTGAAACTTCTGATTAGTGATCTTAGACCATGAGTTACTCAAACTTGTATTCATCTGCAGTTATTTTGTCATTTGCAAATACTAATGCCCCTCTGTGTTTTCTGTTAAACAATGGAAAATGATTACCATGCATGAGACATCTATTGGATGTCTGTTGTTGCATACTTTGTTATTGATGAGTCAATTTTTCTATGTATGCTTATCAACGATACGTTGCTAAGTCTATATGTATGAATCATTGATGCAAATTATGATGTGCAAACTGCAAAGGAAATCAGGAACCTAACTGGTTCATGTTTGTGATTTCATTTGCAGCATCTGCAATATCTCTCAAGACCTTGAACTTAGCAAATATTCCAATTCTCGCTTGAGGGAGTAATTACAAGAAATGGAGGAGAGAAATAGGGCTATTATTGACCATCAATGAGTATGATATAGCCATTGATACTCTAAGATCAGTGATCACAGATCAAAGCACTAGAGCAGAAAAGGTTGATTATGAAAAATGGACAAGAGCCAACAAAGTTGCACTTTCAATCCTTGAAAGTGGGATGACTAACATAGTTCGATGAGGGATTAAAAGACATGAGTTGGCTGCAGAATACCTGAGTGCAATTGAGAAGAAATTCAAGGAATCTGAGAAGACTGAGATCAGTCAACACATGTCACTCTTAACAACCTACAAAATTGACAATGCTGGTTCAATTAGAGACCACATAATGAAGATGACTGATGTTGTTGAAAAGTTAAATTCTATGGAAGTTAACATTGGTGAAAAGCAGTTGGTCTTCATGATCCTTCAAGCCCTCCCAAACAAGTATTCTCAATTAAAGGTGTCATACAACACTCAAGACAAGAGTTGGGATGTAGATGAGCTAATTGCACAGTGTGTTCAAGAAGAAACTCGACAGAGGCAAGAAAAAGGCAAGGATGCTGAAATTGTGAATTTCGTGCAAGGAGGGAAAGGCAGGAAGTTCAACAATGCTGGATTTAATCCAGGTAAGAACTTTAAACACCATAAGCCTTCTGATAAGACTGCTATATCTGCTAAGGTATTTGAAACTTCTAGAGGATCTAACAATCTTAAACCAAAAGTGAAAAATGTTGCTAAACTCAAATGTTTTTTCTGCAAAACTAGAGGTCATTTAAGAAAAGATTGTGAACTGTTTAAAGACTACTTAAAGGCTAATGGAAAGGAGATAGTTAATGTATATGTAGAGTCAAACTTAATTGAGGTTCCATTCAATTCTTGGTGGTTCGATACTGGCTGCACAGTTCACATAACTAACTCAATGCATGGTTTTCAAAAACAAAAGGATGCCAGTTTTAACTGTTTTAATGTCTTTGTGGGGGAAGGGACAAAAGTTGCAGTCAAAGCTATTGGATCAGTGAGATTAGAATTAAATTCTAGTTTCATTTTACAACTAAGTGATGTCTTATATGTGCCAAAGATGAGAAGAAACGTAATTTCAGCCTCTAAACTTGTCAAAAATGGTTTTTCTTTCTTAGGGGATGATGAATGTTTGAAACCTTTTATGAAAAACAGTTTTGATTCTATTTTGGGGACTGCTCGGTTAGTTGAACGCTTATGGCAGTTAGAGTGTAGTGTTGTTCTTAGTGAGTATCATGCACTACACACAAGTACAAAGAGAATGTTAAACACTGACACTTTTTACACCTTTTGGCACAAGAGATTAGGTCACATATCAAATGAAAGAATCACTAAACTATCAAAATCCAACTTGATTCCTCCATTAAATTTTGAAACTGCAACTGATTTGTGGTCATTTCCCAACTAAAACCATTTGTGGAAATAGTTACTTTGTTAATTTCATTGATGACTTTTCAAGATTTAGTTATACCTACTTAATAAGTGAAAAGTCAGCTGCTCTTAAATGTTTCATAATCTTTAAGGCTGAGGTAGAAAAACAGTTAAACAAATCCATTAAGATTGTTAGATCGGATAGGGATGGAGAATATTTTGGCAGGTACACAGAGTCTGGACAACAGAAGGGCCATTTTGCCCTCTATCTTGAAGAACAAGGAATCGTGGCTCAATACACAACTCCTGGTACACCACAACAAAATGAAGTATCAGAAAGAAGGAACAGAATACTGATTGGCATGGTGAAGAGCATGATGTCAAGGTCCAGGTTGCCTAGTTTCATTTAGGGTGAGGCTTTAAAGACTGCCAATTACATATTAAATCGAGTCCTGAGCAAATCAGTGTCAACCACCCATTTTGAAGCATGGTATGGAAGATTACCGAGTTTTGGCCATTTTCACATTTGGGGTTGCAAGGCAGAAGCTCGGTTCTACAACCCAGAGGAAAGAAAACTAGATCGGAGAACCGAGTCATGCTATTTCATAGGCTACTCAAAGAAATCAAAGGGGTTCAAGTTCTATTGTGCACAATCTCATACAAGAATCAAAGAAACACACAATGCAAGGTTTTTTGAAGATCAAGATGTATCAGATTTTACTATTGAAAATTTCATATTTGAAGAATTAGAGCAGTCATCGAATGAAACATCCTCAATTGATCACTGCCCTGTGTTAGTATACTTTCAAGCCACGGATCAAGATGTTGAGGCTGACTACAATGAGGATCCCGATAAAGTAATGGAACAACCAGAAGTAACTGAAATGGAGCATGAACCAAGTTAACATGGCACGAAACTGATTGACAGTACAATGCAAAATGATTGTATTCAAGTGCAACCCCAAATCAGAAAATCCACAAGAATAAGAAAACCTGCAATTACAAGCGATTTCCTATGCTATCTCAAAGAAACTGACTATAATATTGGAGATATTGATGATCCTATGACTTATTCACAAGCAATGAAGAGCTCACAATCAAATTTGTGGAACAATGCGATGAAAGATGAACTGGAATCAATGTACAAGAATCAGGTTTGGTTATTGGTGGAACCTAAATCTGATAAAAGGCCTATAGGATGCAAATGGGTTTACAAAACTAAGAGGGATGCACAGGGACAAATTGAAAGGTATAAAGCTCGATTGGTTGCTAAAGGGTTCACTCAAAGAGAAGGAATTGACTACAATGATACCTTCTCACCCGTGTCCTCAAAAGATTCATTGAGACTCATTATGGCTATAACTGCATACTATGATCTAGAGTTACATCAAATGGATGTAAAAACAGCTTTTCTCAATGGGGATCTTCAAGACGACATTTATATGGTTCAACCCCTTGGATATATTGAAAGGGGGAAGGAGAATATGGTTTGTAAATTAAAGAAGTCGATCTATGGTCTCAAACAAGCATCCAGACAATGGTACTTAAAGTTTGATCAAGTAATCACATCTGATGGTTTTGTTGAGAATAAACTCGATGATCGCATCTACCTAAAGTTTAGAGGGTCGGAGTTCGTAATCTTAGTTCTATATGTTGATGACATATTACTTGCAAGTTCGAGCATTCAGTTGTTAAAAGAGACAAAAGCATTGCTCAGTGCAAATTTCGAAATGAAGGACCTTGGTGAGGCACATTTTGTCCTAGGCATTGAAATTGCTAGAGACAGAAACAGAAAGTTATTGGGACTTTCTCAGAAAGCCTACATTGAAATGTTTTTTTTACTAGGTTCAACATGGAAAGCTGCAATGGTTGCCATGTTCCAGTGAACAAAGGGGATCGTTTATCAAATGAACAATGTCCTAGAACCGATTTCAAAGTCAAGAAGATGTCTGAGAAACTATATGCTTCATTAGTTGGAAGCTTAATGTATGCAAATGTTTGTACAAAACCTGACATTGCATATATAGTAGGAATTTTGGGCAGATTTTAATCTAATCCAGGAGAAGCTCATTGGAGTGCTGCCAAGAAAGTTCTGAGGTATCTGCAACAAACCAAGGGCTATATGCTTGTGTATGATAGAGAAGAAGAACTTGAATTGAAAGGGTACACAGATTCTGACTTGGCAGGAGATTTAGATGACAGAAAATCAATTGGTGCATATGTATTTATGTTTGGTGGAGGTGCAGTGTCTTGGAAGAGTGCCGAGCAAACTATCATTGCGACTTCTACTATGGAGGCAGAGTTTGTGGCATGCTTTGAAGGAATGAAGCAAGGAGTATGGTTAAGAATTTTGTGGCAGAATTAAGGATTGTAAAATCAATACAGAAGCCTTTGACAATGTATTGTGACAATAATTCTGCAGTTTTCTTTGCTAAGAACAACAAAAGAACTTCTGCTTCGAGGTTGATGGATGTCAAGTTTCTAAAAGTAAGGGAGAAAGTCAAGCAAGGAACCATTGATGTGCATCATATCAGTACGAGTTTAATGGTTGCTGATCCTTTGACCAAGGCCTTGGCTGTTGATATTTTTAAGGTGAAAATCTCCAGAATGGGCGTGCTTGAGTCCCTTGATTAGTGGGAGTAGTGTTTTATCAAAGGCTTTTGTGTCAATAAAGTTGAGAAGTGCTGCTATTATGAAGTTCAAAGAGCTGGTATAGTAGTGATACTCTTCTCATCAAGTTAGTTTTCTGGTTCAGTTTGCTTTATTTACAGTTAGTATAATTGTAAGCTAGTTGTATTCAGAGATTCAATTTTTGTAATTGTTTGATCTGATATATATATATATATATATATATATATATATATATATATGTGTGTGTGTGTGTGTGTGTGTGTGTGATTTTGGATTCAGTTGATGCCTTAAGGAATCTTTGTGATTTGACTTAGGTAGTTGTTTTGAATTCATAAGACTTGCATACAGACAGTTTATTGACTGTAATGAACTTGATTGTTTTGAATTGAGTTAAGAAATAGTGGGAGTGGATATTTAGGTCCACTGAGTTTCAGTTTGATCATAATGTTATGATGTGCAGATTGGACATAAGTGATCTAAGAGCGCCGGTTGCATAATGGTTGTGACTGTGAGTTTTCAGATTCTGTGTTTTGAGATGAATAGGTAGATTGTTTATGATGTTGCTCAAAAGGCTTAGTGATCACCCTATTGTAGTCTTAATCGAACTGGTTTCTTGGTTCATACTTGCTTAAGTGGGAGAATGTAAGAATGTAAGCATGAGTATGAATCTATGAACTTAGTTACAGGATTAAAGACTGAATAGGAAGTCTTGTTGAGATTGGATTTGTGAATCCATATTGGTGCTGAATTGCCATTTCATAAGAATTGTTTTTCTATATGGATTTTAATAGGGAAATCCTTATGGAATAAGGTTAGGATTATATAGTATATGTATGGTGGCCTCTGCTCTCACAGTGTGTGCTTAATTCTAGACTAAGACCTATTATTAGTTGAAAGCCTTTGAACACTCAAGAGAGGAGAAGGTGCGCTGTGATTTTCTGCAGAGATTAGACATGGCAGCCGGTTCAAGTTCATCTGCAGGTATGGTTTTCTTCATGTATTGTTTGCTGAGTTATGGTCATGTGTTTTGATCACTGTGATTCATGTTGCTAGATCTTGGTTCTATGTTTATTCTAACAATTTTTGCATGTGTTGTCCAATGTCATAGCGGGAAAACATACATATTTGTAGTTAGAGACAATTATTTTAGCTGACTGTCGGTACACACAATAATTTCTAGTTACAGACTCTTACCTAACAGTTGCACACAATAATTTGCAGTTACAGACACTCACCCAAGAGGTTAGCTGGGAAGTGCTCATTCTGCGAGAGAAGGCGAAAATGCTGAAAAAGAGAAAAAAATGAAGCGGACATTGGCCAAAACGACGCCGATGGGATATTCCTTCGGTTTCCGACAGCGACTGTCCAATGCAGTACAGTGTCAGCTACTATCAAACTAGGTGTCTGCTCCAGCTGATCCAGAAGGAGCTCGAAAGGCTCTTCCATTTTGGTCCTGACGGCATCTAAGAAGGCATCCATGTCGGCGACACGGACATGCTCAGATGGGATTACGTTGGGAATGGCAGCGAACCGAATGCTGTCGGGTTTGGAGTCGGAGCCGATGAGGCCAAGCCACTCTTGTGTGAGGACGAAGGTGACGAGAATGTCTCTCTCTTGTGAAGCAAGCAACTTGCAGAAGTTCATCAGTGAGTTGATGTGGCTTCGGCTTGGGTGAGGCACTGCCACCACGTGGTAGACACTGGTTCGTTGTTGTTCTCTGGAGGAATCCACGTCCGAGTTCTTTGTCAAAGCAATTTAGTTATGGAAGCATCTGCGCAGGGGAGGGGATTGTAACTGGCTTTAAATAACCAAAGTATCCCTTATGGTGGTCCCAATTCACTAGCCTGAAAGGAAAGGAACTTGTATGGCGCTGGTATGGTGATATCCTATGCCACTAATATATACTAGATATTTCTTAGTTTCTATCCACATATTCTTATGATATTACTGGTCCTCTCGGAACATGCAATGCTCTCAAAAGTATTGCGCTTTAAACTGCTTGCAATAATTCGTTGAATTTACGATGGGCGGGAATCCAACTTATAATGTATATGTCCAGTCTCATTCACTTTCACCAATAGTGAAACTTTTTAAGTAGCACAATGCACATCATGTTTGTCTACAAACGATGAGTGGGAATCCAACTTATAATGTATATGTCAAGTACCATTCACTTTCACCAATAATGAAACTTTTGAAGTATCACAATGCACTATCATGTTTGTCTACAATTTTTTATATTTTAATTAAGCAAATATTTCACCAAAAGAGAAAGATTTAAGTACGTAGTGATGCACACGTTGTTTGTCTACAAGTCTTTGCTTTTTTAGACGAATATTCTAATCTAAATCGCATAAAAGAGATATGAACTTAGATCAAAGAAGAAAAATTGAAACACATCATTTAACCAATTTTTAACACGCACGTATTTGCTGTACTCCTGTTTTGTTTTGTTCAATAATCAAAAGTTAATATATTTTGCATTCATGTGATTTAAACTACTAACGAAAATCTTATGAGCACTGTTTTAATTCACTTTTTCTAAAAATTGTCAAAAGAACCAAAAAAGTAAAAAAAAATATTGCAGCATAGTTGGCTTTTGCTAACTGCTACCTTATTCTGTTGCCGACTTGGCATTTGTTAATTTACATTGCATCAATTTGACGTAAAGCATATATTACACACTCCTGGTGTCACGTCAAAAATATTACATTGAATTTAATAGTCAAAGGGACTGGGGGGACTAATAGTGCAACAATTTGCCTGCTGTTCAGAAATTGATCAAGAAACAGAGGAAAAGTAAGTATTGGAGCACCAGCAAATACAGCTTCTAAAGTCGAATTCCATCCACAATGCAAAGACCACCCACAAAAGAATGGCACAACAATTTCAGTTGCTCACAGCATGGCACCACCAACCCCATATCATCACTACCATTACAGCTCTCACTCAACCGAGCCGCCTCTCCTCGCGCAACCCACAAAACCCCACTACGCCTCAGACCCGCTGCATTTCGTCCATTTGGGTGTTCGAAACCGAAATAAAACTCCCCAAGGATAGATCATTATGATTTTAAGGCATTAACTTTGTAGTTTATGTTAAGATGCTATGACAGGTGTCATAATTCTATAGGCAACACGTATGCAGAAGTTAGTTAGTTAGTTAGTTACAAGGTTGTTAGTTTTGGTATCTGGCATTCTATCTTTCTGTGCAACCATTGAAGACGTGGAGCAAGGTTCTAACATTGGTATTGAGCCAGTCGTTCGTTCCTCTCAATCCTTTGTTGTTGTATGATGTGTCATGCTTCACACAAAACTATAGAGTAAGAGTTTCCAATTTGGAAGCTAAATTTGATGAATTCAAGAGCTCACAGTAAGAATTCAAGAATTTGCAGGAGAAATTCCAATCAACCCAATATTTGATTTTACTTCAATTGCAGTCTCTCTTGAAACGCAGCAATGGCGAATCATTTGGGGAATCTTCTGAAGCTACTCCTGGCGATCCCCATCTCCAGACCCACATGAACCCTAATTTTGCTCGTCCAGACAATGGTCAAAATTGCAATCAGCAACCTCCTTAACCTTTCTTGAAGATGGATTTTCCAAGGTTCAACGAGGGTGATGATCCGATGGGGTGTATTTATAGTGCAGAGCATTATTTTCAGTTTTTCAGCAATACCAAAAAGGTAAAAATGGCATCTTTCCATATGGAAGGAGAAGCTCTTCAATGGTTTCAACGGGCACAGTGTCTCATCAATTATCCAAATTAGGAGGAATTTACAAGGGTTTTTTGCCAAGAATTTGGTCCGTCAAAATTGAAAGATTCTACCGAGAATTTGGTGAAGTTGGGGCAAACAGGCACACTTCGAGATTATGTTCTTGAATTCCAAAGATTGGCAAATCGTACAAGGGATATTAGTCCTGGTCTTCTCTGATTCTATTTCATTGGTAGTCTGAAACCTGAGTTGTGGCATGATGTTAAACTCTTTAAGCCTAAGGATGTGCTTAAAGCTACTGCATACGCTCAACAAGTAGATGCCAAGATCACAGAACTTAAGGTGAAATCTTTATATAAACCTTCTGCCATTCATCCTAATTTTTTATCACTACTGTCTCAAAATGTTAATATTACTGCCATGCCTGAGAATCGTATGAAAACCAATAATGTTAGGAAACTAACACCTGAAGAAGTTGATTATTGTAGACGAAATGACTTATGTTTTCATTGCAAAGATAAACATGTCAGGGGACATACTTGTGAGAAGAAATGATCGCTTTTAATTGATGTTCAAGATCCTATAATTTATGATGTTGTTGAGTTAGAAAATGAGGAACATGAGATAACTGCATGTGCTCTGTTTGGTACACCTGCCCCTTCATCCATCAATACTATGAAAATTCCTGGATTTATCAAGAATTCTCCCATAACTTTAGTGGTGGATTCAGGTAGTTCTCATAATTTTGTGGATCTAGGATTAGCGAAACAACTGAGAAGCTATTTGGATACTAAGCATGTGTTTAATGTCAAAATTGCTAATGTGGGTAAAGTGGCTACCAAAGGTACCTTAGCTCAAGCTTCTGTGAAAATTCAAGACTTCCACCTTGTGACAGATTTGTATGCTATTCCATTGGGAGGGTGTGACATTGTATTAGGTATTCAATGGTTAAGGAATCTTGGTCCTATACTGTGGGATTTCGACAAATTATATATGCAGTTTTCTAAAGATTTAAGAACCTACTGTATCACTAGTCCAGGAACTTCTAGTCATGATATTGAGGATATTTCAGCTCTACAAATGCAGAAATTATTGCAGCAAGACAGTACCATGGGTGCAGTGCTTTACCACACTAAGCCCGAGTTAGTTTCTATGCATAACATTGATGGTGATTTAGCAATTTCTTTTTCTTCAAATCTCACAACTCAACAACTAATAGAGTTAAATTTGTTATTGGCAGAATATGAGATGGATTTTGTTACTCCAAATGCCCTGCTTCCCCATAGAATTCAAAACCACATGATTCCATTACTAGAGGGAAGCAAACCTCCTAATAGCAGACCATATAGATACGGTCCTATGCTAAAAAAACAAAGAGAGAAAAATGTGTTCAAGATCTTTTGAATTCTGGATTCATCAGGGTAAGTAACAACCCCTATTCTTTTCCAGTTATACTAGTAAGGAAGAAAAAAGGAATTTGGAGAATGTTCATGGATTATAGAGGCCTTAGGGATCACAATCAAGGATAAATTTCCTATCCCTTATATTGATGTGATACTTGATGAGCTATTTGGTGCATAATATTTTTCTAAGTTGGATTTGAAGGCTGGATACCACCAAATTAGAATGCACCCGGATGATGTTGAAAAAACAGCCTTTAGGATGCATGATGGGCATTATGAATTCTTGGTGATGCCCTTTGGATTAACAAATTTTCCAGCTACATTTCAGTGTCTCATGAATGAAATATTTAGGCCACATCTCATAAAATTCATTTTGGTTTTTTTTTTTATATGGTATTTTGGTGCGATGGCAAGTGCCTTCACCCATGAGCGGTAGGTCTCGGGTTCAAGACTTGGGAGCAGCCTCTCCATAAATAGGGGTAAGGCTAGCCGACATTCACCTCTCCCAGACCCTGCTTAAAGCGGGAGCCTTGTGCACTGGGTACGACCTTTTATGGTATTTTGGTTTATAGTGCATCTTGGGTTTTACATTTGCAGCATTTGAGGGTGGTTTTTGATACACTAAAAGAACATACTTTGTTTGTAAAACAGTCTAAATGTGTATTTGGTCAGGATCAGGTAGAGTACTTAGGCCATATAGTCTCTAAAAATGGTGTTTATGCAGATTCTTCAAAGTTGGAAGCCATTGCTAATTGGCGTATGCCCACATCTGTTAAAGCATTGAGGGTTTCTTTGGGTTAACAGGGTATTATAGGAAGTTTATACCCCAATTTGGCAAGATTATTAAACCTATCACTGCACTTACCAGAAAAGACAATTTCAAGTGGAATGAGGAAGCTACTGCAACATTTCACAGTCTCAAACATGCCATGATTTCTCCTCAAGTATTGCCACTGCCTGATTTCAATAAACCTTTTGTGATTGAAAGTTATGCATCAGGATTAGGCATTGGTGCAGTATTACAACAACAAGGCACTTTGTCCAAGGAATCAAGCATTTATTCGCTTATGAAAGGGAAATATTGGCTATTATCCATGTTATTCAAAAATGGCAGTCATACTTGGTAGGAAACCATTTTTTTATTCAAACTGACCATCACAGTTTGAAGTATTTCTTAGAAGGTAGAGCTCATAGACCCTTCCAACAAAAGTGGGTCATTAAACTCCTTGGCTTTGATTACGAAATTCAGTATGAGCAAGGTGGTGACAACGAAGTTGCTGATGCATTGGCTAGAATGCCTTATACTTCAAAAGATCTTTCTTGCCATCTATTGAGTGCTAGTGAAATCAATGCCATTTCATATCCTTACTCTTCTTGGTTGGATGAATTAAGGAGATACATGGAGAAAGACACTTGGGTGGTTGCTAAGACTCAGCAAATTCTTAATACTCCTGATGATGCACCTATTGGTACTTTTAGATTTCATTTTGACAATGGTTTTTTAAAGTACAACAATAGAATTGTGCTAAGCCCTTGTAGTGCTTGGAAGGATAAGGTCTTTATTGAACATCACTCAAGCCATGTTGCTGGACATGAGAGGTTTCTAAAAACCTACAAGAGAATATCGAGATCATTCTATTGGGAAGGCATGAAGAAGGATATCAAGGACAGAGTTACTACTTGTGCCATTTGCCAATAGAACAAGTATGAAACCTTGTCACCACCTGGACTTTTGCAGCCCTTAGCAATTCCTGCAAAGGTATGGTCTGAAATATCAATGGATTTTATAATTGGTCTTCCACCTTGTAGAGGAAAAACTGTAATTTGGGTCGTAGTTGATTGTTTGTCTAAGTATGCTTATTTCACTGCATTAGCACATCCATATTCGGCCTCAATAGTTGCTCAACTCTTTGTTGACCACATCTTCAGGTTACATGGAATGCCACACTCTATAGTGAGTGATAGGGATCTAGTTTTCATGAGCAAATTTTGGAAAGAAATCTTTCTTCGCAAGGGTTTGAACTCTGCTTCAATTCTGGTTACCACCCTCAGACAAATTGTCAAACTGAGGTTCTTAATAGGTGTTTAGAAACCTACTTATAATATTTTTGCAGTTTACAACCAAAGAAGTGGGCTTTCTAGCTTTCTTGGGCAGAATGGAACTATAACACTAGTTACCATTCATCTATTAAAATGGCTCCATTTGAAACAGTTTATGAGTATGTTCCTCATCTCCTTCCTACTTATGAAAGTGGTAACTAAAGTGGAGTCTATGGAACAATGCTTACAAGAGAAAAATCGAATTTTGCCCTTGCTTAAGAACAACTTAGAGGCTGCCCAATGTTGAATGAAGGTTCAAGTTGACAAAAAGAGAACATAAAGGGTGTTTGAAGTGGGCGATTGGTTCTATTTATGATTGGTTCCTTACCATCACAAATCCTTAGCAGCTCATCCATTTCATAAACTCCAACCTCGATTTTATGGACCCTTCCAGGTTATGAACAAAGTTGGGGATGTAGCATACAAGATCAAATTACCAGAACAATCAAAATTGCATCATGTGTTTCATGTTTCCTGCTTGAAGAAACATTTGGGGCCTAATGTTCAAACCATAGTTCCTTTACCAGTTATCACTAACTCTGGTATTTATAGAAGGATGGTTAAGTAGGGTAACTCTGCTATTACTGAGGTGTTGGTCCATTTGCAAAATCATTCTGCTGAAGATGCTACTTGGGAGCTACCATGATTTGAAGCTGAAGTTTCCATAAGTGTTAACCTCTGAGCTGTCAGTCTGTCAGTTGTTAGTAATTATGTTGTGTTGTTGTACCGTTGTTTCATACTCTATTGTATTGTTCAATTTCTGTTGTAAGTTCAATTTTAAGGGGGAGGTATTGGTAGGATGCTATGACATGTGTCATAATCCTATAGGCAACACATATGCAGAAGTTAGTTAGTTAGTTACTGGGTTGTTAGTTTTGGTTGTCATTACATATAATAGCTTGTAAGAGAAGATAAAGGGTTAATGAATTGATATTTGGTATCTGGCATTCTATCTTTCTGTGCAAGTTCTAACATTTTAACTTGATAATGGAATACACATATCAAGTGATGAGTGGGGAAGACAAACTGGGAAACGCAAGAAGGAATAATGCAGAACGACAAAGAGATAGAGGAGATGTCAAAAAACACACAAGGCTTGACAGAAAAATGATAGAAGAGCAATGCTGAATTCTTCATTACCATAAAATTATAATTCCAAATTGTCTCATTTAGCATATCAAACTCCCTCCCTAATATACTAGTGTGCCAAAACATCTTCATCAATGCAAATACAACTCCCTAAGCCACCGAAACATATTAAATGACAATTGTTCCACATATCCACTTAATTTAAAACAAAACTTACAATGCATCAAAATCACTACAAAACGTTACATCACAACCTAAGATACATGAATCTCAAATTAATAATTAATGGAATGGATGAACACCAAAATACCAAAAGCCCCGTTGAATAAACTCCTTATTCACTGCATCAAGGAAATGTACCTAGTATCTTGCTTGATAAATGATTTAGATGTGGTTTACAAAATGTGATCTTCCTAACATTTTTTTAAGAGAGTTGTTAACATTTGTACAAGTTTTATCAAGATAATACAACGTGCTTCCATTTTCCTTTCTTCTCTGTCTTCATTTGTGAGGTTCTTCTTTCTTTCTACTATGTTATGATTACTAATATAAGTAGTAAAAATATTGTTGTACAAAATGCAGCTCTTTGTATATTGTGTTTTTGGCTATTATATAGCTAAACAGAAGGGACAATGTCGAAATTGGAAATATCATGGCTCGTTTATATAGAAAGTTTTAGACGTTGAAAAGACAAAAGGATCTATTCTATATATCTCACTTGCAGCTTCTCTCTATCTCTCTCTCTCTCTCTCTCATCTAGATCTTTCTCATTCCAAATTCCTCTGTCTTTCTCACTCTCTCATTGTTGTATGCAAGTTCATGGCAAAGGCTACAATGATGCCTTTTGTAAACGGTGGAGCGGCTGGGTTAGGTTTGTTACACGTTGTTCTTCATCTTCAACTCCATTTCTGCAATTGTTTCTCTCTAGTAAAGTATTCACTCTAAAGCTTCTTTCTTTGGACTATATTTGAAAGGCTTTTTGTGAATTGGGCTGTTGGAAGGGTGTTTGATTTGGTTGAGCAGATGAAGGGGCAAGTTTGTGTAAGAAATAATTTGATTATTCTTGATTAATATAGGTCAATCTGTGCTAGGTTCATTAATTCTTGAGGTTGGGCCATTCGTTATTGGTAAGCGTGCGGATGATAGTAAAAGTTGCGAGGTGTTCGAAAAATTCTTGAGGATAAAGAGGAAAAAAAGATTTACAAACTGAAGGGAAACATATTAGCAACATAACAATTAGGGCTGGAAAAAAATCCCAAAAATACCAAACCGAACCGAAATTTTTCCGAAACCGAACCGAAATATTCCCAAACCGAAAAATTCCCGAACCGAAATTTCCCAAACCGAAAAAATCCCGAAATTTCGGTATGGGAATCGGTCTCACGTTTTTGGGATTTCGGTATTCCCAAACCGAACTGAAAAATATACATATATATTATTTAATTTTTAAATATATAATTAGAATTTTAATAGCCGTTGGATTATGTTGAGATTTAATCTCAGCCGTTGCATGTAAATCAAAGTTATCAACCCCCCAACCCGTGTCTGACTCTCTCTCGCTCTCTCTCTCTCGGTCTCTCAACCTCAGACCTAAAACCTCACCTCCCCTCACCTCAGTATCTCCTCGCCGATTTGTCTCTCCTCCCACATCCGTCGCCTGAATCCCGAATCTACCCACACCAGTCGTCATTCCTCTCAGTCATCACTCCTCACCTTAATCGCACCTTACCCACTGTCCTTACCATCCGAATTCAGCTCCTAAATCGAGCTTTCGGTCTCATTCCGCACTCCTCCTCCTCACTGCAAAAGGTAAGAAATTCCTGCAATAAACTCAACCAAAGTTCATACAAATTGTTTGATTCCAAATTCGATTAGAAAATTTGAATTTGGGTTTCTGAATTAGGAATTTCTGAAATTAGGGTTTCTGAAATAGGGCTTTTGGAATTAGGGATTTTGAATCGACGGAGAGGTTGCAGAGGGAATATGAGAAGTCAATGGAGTGTGGTACAACTTACAAGCTGCTGTTGTTATTCCCTTGTTTGTGTTAAATTAAATATATGAAATCTGGTTCATATGCATTCGAATAGACCGAGGCATTTCGCTTCTTTCTTTGTTTGTTTTATATTCGTTTTGGGTGAGGGGATGAATGAGGGCCCTGGGTTGTAAATGGTGTTGATTAGTATTGGACTCGGAATATGGATTAAAAACATATTGATTGCAAGGAAGTGGATTAAAAAGTTAGTCTAAAATGTTACCATGATATATCAATTTTCTTTTGTTGTCCATATACAGATTGTTAACTATTACATATTTGAAAAATGGTTTCATATTGGAGATTCTCTTAAACTTATTTTTCGATTTAGCAAGCATTGAGAACTTGTTTTTGCTCTTTTCTTTCTCTCTGAAACTTCTAATGACTAACTGATTAGATCCTTAAGCATTTGCATAACATTATCTGTGCACATCTATTGATTATTGTGCACAGATTCAGATTTCAAATTGCACAAATTGCACAGATTGCATATTTTTGTCTAACAATAGATTGGGCCGCATATTGACATTCTGCCCAAAAGCCCAAAATTTCAATATAAAATGTTGAATTTTAGCCCAAAAGCATAATATGTCAAATTTAGTCCAAAAGCCCAAAACCATTTCGGGATTCCCGATTTGTCCCGAAATCCCGAAACTATTTCGGGATTCCCGAAAATTGGGATTTCCAAAAATTTGGTTTGGGATCGGTATTGAAATTGGGATTCCCGAAAATTTTGGTTTGGGAATCGGGATTAGGGTTTCGGTATGGGATCCCATACCGAACCACCCCTAATAACAATCCTGTATTGACAACTATTTATAAATATTATCAACAATATTGTGTGCGACATATTCAAAATATATCAACGCTATCATTCATTATGGACATCATTTCAACAATTTCTATGTGTCTATATTTATACCTGAATACTTTAGACATTTCCATTATTTCGTCCTATTGTTTATGTTGTTCATATTGTTTGTATCGTACTTCACCAATCCCAAAACTACCGAGTACCAGTCAACTTCATACATTCGGGGACTCACTTAAGGATTCATGTTGAGGCACTCATGCCAAAGCACATGAGTTGCTCTAACCATGAAGCCAATCACAAGCAATACGTGTCAACATCAGAATAAAATTCCTAGAGTCCCACATCAACTGTGGATGAAAGCATGTGACTCTCCTAAACTATAAAATGAGACATTTCTCCTACAATTAATTCCTAATATCATTATTTCATTTAGTTCATTATTATAACTTACTAATGATGATCATGCTTGGACCTGTGTACCTTATAAAATCTACATTATTAATGAGAACTCCTCTACCCTTATGGGTGTAGCCCAAATTAGAATGACCCACATACATCCTGTATTTGTTCATCTATCTCTATCTCTTTACATATTATTCTTACTAAGTGACCAGAACAACATTGCGAAAGGTCACACCTCGAACGTTACGCTGTTCCAAAATCCATCCAATTTTATGTGTCAACACATATCATTCTTTCTATTTCAACAACAAAAATTTAAAAATTTTAAATTACAGCATTTGCTCTCTTGGCATTGGCAGCAGCGTATTATAAAGAAAATGACACAACGTAAACAAAATCCCATAAAGAGCAAAAGAAAATGGTAGTTGACATGGACCACCACTACATATATGAACAATATTAATCCTACCATGACCAATAATTACAGACTTGACAATCCACTGAAATTAACCCCTTCAATGAAAATATTGCTCGTCAAAGTCCATAGTAGACCCCGCAAACAGAGAGTTTTTAGAATTAATCAACTCCCTAAAAGTTAGATATTTTCATCTTTTTTCATGTAGTTAAATTAGAGATATTTTCAGTCGACAAACACATTCAAAAGTTAAAGTCCACGGATATTGGAGTGGGATATTTGTTGAGATATTCCATGCTTTTTGTTGAGTTGATAAGTATTTTCACGTGGCAAATCAAACCCTCTTCACAAATCGACCCTGCTACACCAAAAAAATGCAACAAAAAAACATAATTTCAAATTTTCAGGATATATTAATTAGGGGGAGAGAGAGAGAGAGAGAGAGAGAAGACAAAAACCTTGAGTCTAGGTCTTTTATCTGCATTAAGCTTACGGACTTGGTACCTTATCTTTTTGGAAAAGAGTCTAGACTGGCGTTTCTCCTTGTACCTTAGAACTCTTGCCTCTCTTCTTGCCTTCTCTTCTTCCATTACTGGCACCTCCCCTATCTGATGATCATACACAATTAATTAACATAATTAAAATTAACATAACATTCTGGTTAATTAAGAGGCTCATGATATATATATATATATGCAAACCCACTTGATTTATTACAGTATGTGTAGAGTTTAACATTTAAAACCAATCTCAATTGATAATGGGATCATGTGGGAAAATAAATAAATTAATACAATAATTTACATACTACAAACAAAATTATTTCATTCATCTTAAAAATAAAAAAATAAAAAAAAACCAAACTAAAATATTGTACACCATTTAAAGGGTTTTCCATACCTCGAGCATTTTGAAAAGGGAAACGCTATTCTCTCATGTTTATGACGAGTATTATTTCGCTTCTTTACAAAAGTGAAGACAACACAACAAAGAGTGCGAATAACGTTTCTCTTTTGGAACAAAGAAGAAAGAGTGCAGAAGATCAAATGCATGTTATATCAATGAGATCCGTTTTCTTTACAATTGGGGAAACAAGAACTATGAAACAAGGTCAGAAAATAGTAAAAGGATGGTAATAGATAATAAAGTTAATCAAGCACTAACATAATTGCCATTGCTAGCCATGGAAGAAAGTGAACAATCATCTGCCCAAAGAGTACCGCGATCAGACCAAGCATCCATAACCTCTTGATAATTCAAATTCAAATTCAGCTGCACCTTCTTCTCATCATCATCATCCCAAAACCCTATACTCTCACACTTTACAATATTTTTTTTGTAGTAGCTCTCCTCTTCAAAGAAGCACTTATCAGTGCCATGATAAACTTTTTGATCTATCTCCTCCCCTTCTTCTTCTACATTGGGAAACTCGTCCCAATCCATAAAATCCCAATTGAGCTCGTGACCGCTGTACATGTTATCGCTCGGTAATTTTCCATCTTCTTCCTCTTTGATTCCCAAAATTTGTTCCCAATCATCCATGATATCAACCTCATGATCATTGTCTCCATTGGTGTAAGCATCATCTAATTTTGTAGTATTAGTGTCAGAGAATTCTTCACCAGAATTATGGGTACTGTCCGGAACTTGTTGCTCTTCCTTCTTCAGGCTTCTTAAGAAAGAATGGTACCTCATCTTATCCTTGTTCGATCACTCCCTTTTCTACTACCCAAATTTGATTGTAACAGATGATAAGAGATATGAGAATAAGATGTAAGTGGGAATTTGTATATATGGTATGTTTATCCTATGTGGCACCTTATCTTCTAACCATTGGCTGATTCAAGGCCTCATATATCAGTTGAAAGACTCCAGCTGGGAAAAAGGACAAAGGGTAAGGATGACCCTACAATTACATGCCTTTTCTCCATAAAAAAGAGGAGTTGGGGACCAATTCAAAGACTTGTTGAACTGTTGCATTAAGAAGAACGTGCCCTAAAAGGCTGATAAAAGCAATAATTTAGATATTTATAGTAGGATTTTGTTCTGTGCGTGCCGCTGTACGTAGGTGCAGTAGATTCGAGAAGGAAGGAGAAAACGTATAAAGAAGCCCCATATAGTGTTGTTGGTATTCGGCAGTTTGTGGGGCGTCGTTGGTCGTGCTGATATTATATCCAATGCCCATCGTGTGCAGCAGTCTAGCAGTAGCAGTTTGCAAAGCATTTAATTAACCCTAAAAAATATACGACATTTTACTTTAAATGGGGCTTTTTCAGAGAAGTTACTGTTCGGAACTCACATATAACCCATCTAATCTTACTACCTAGTGTGACATTGAAAAGTCTCGGTGTTATTTGAGGAGATATATTCTAATCTTAATATCATTACGAGTAGGAAGCTTAATGGATATATGTCATGTTTCTTGTAGAGGATCATCGTGCTGCAATAGTGCTTCAAGTGCCTTTTCGGGTCTCCATCTCCCTTAAATGGGGTGAAATGTGGTGTATTGTACTTATGCGGGGTTCCGTCTGCTCAATTTCGTCTGTCAAAAGTGATATACCCATGTGTGCCATGTCTTTGCAAAGGGCTTCGTGTGTGGTCTCGATGCACTAGAATTCGTGCAATCGCTCGGTCAGGAGCCTCTCAACTTCTTCTTGAATTTGCCTCTATCAGGGCAGTGGGGCTTCCAACTGCCCCCAATCATGACCTGCTGGTCTCGACTGTTCTTCCATATGCTCAGCTCGTCTATGTCGCAACTGATGTGCATGTAGTATGTTCCTGGCAAGCGAGCGGATTACTCGTAGGCTGTCGGTTGAACTTGAGCCGGAATGTCCGACTGCTTCTCACTGTCCACAATGTTGCTTACTCTAATGTGAGGTGGAAGATATTTCTTGCAAGCCTAGCCACGTATGAACACTTCGCCTAGAAGGTTCTCCATGTTGATTGTCGAAATATGGCCCCAACTATGAATATATGCTTGTTCAAGGGCTTAAGTGAAAGTGCACGCTCCTCTGCTAGCTAAGACAAGAGTCTATGCTATCTCGAGGGCCCAAGCAAGAGTGTACATTGCCAAAACGCTCGATTTGTGGCTGGTTGAGAGGCTGCTTGTTGGGACACTATTTGAGAGAAACGTCATCACATGTCTTTGTCCTACTTCTGGACACCTCATCTAGGGTATGCTGTATCTCGATGCACTGCAGGAGCTGACTCACCAAGGTAATCTGATGCACGAGGGCGCTTGTCAGTTCGACGATTTGTCGGGATATGTGTTGTTCGCCATTTGGAGTGGAAGAGCTGGGACGATAGACGTGTGCTTGAGTTATGGAAGTGTAATGGACTCCAGGTCCAAATTTAAGCCATAATATGTTAGATCTACAGTAACGTAGGGTGAAAATACCCTTGGTTCAACCGTCAGCCTTGGGATCTGGATCTGGGCTGGTTGAACTGGTCTAAGACTATGTTGGATTGTCTAGAGGGCTACAGGAGTAGGTTAGGCTCATAGGTACTGGACCACCTCGATTGGCATGGCCTGGGTAGTTCATGTCCAAGTGAAGGTGGCAGGTGCTAAAGACTCCTGTCAAGGGCAAGCAGCTGTTTGTGTATGCGTCTACTAGCTACTTACGACGTGGATCTCCTACCCTAGGGTTTCCTCGCTTTGAGTGGAGGCTACCTCGTTGGCCACTACAACGTCGATTGCCGCTGCTGGCATGGCCAGGGTACCTTGTGGTGGCAAAGGTGCAGTCTTTGCAGTGGTAAGCCTCAAGAAGGGACGGCATAGAGCCACGTCGAGATCTCCATTAGTTTGTCCATGTCCTTCTATGTAGGGGGTTCCATTAGTTGTAGTTTCTGAATTTTCTGCCATCGTAGTCGTGGATCTGTGAACGATTGAAGTTGAAAGCGAGAGTCTTCTTCGAGTCTTCGGACTAGAGCTCTCAATGAAAGCACCAATTTGTGGATGCAAATTTCTGCCTTCCTTTGATTGACGAATCTGAACCTGCAAAATAATAACACCTAAGATTAAGGCCAAAAGCCTTATGCGTCCGTGATGAATGGAGAGGCTTTGGCCGAATAATCTCCGAAGCCAAAGTTAGAATTCTAAAAAGAATGTGTTTGAGTGTTTGTGGGAAGCAAAAAGCCTTTTTAGGGGTAGTTAAAGCTTACTGAATTTTGGAGATAAATGGTGTATTTATAGGAGAGGATAGGAGTATGGGTCGGCCCTCTAAGGTTTAGGGGTGGCCGGCCTAGGTGATATTTGTGTAAATAAATATCTTAGAATAATTAGGTAAATATCATAAATAAATAAATAAATAAGATTATGATTGCTTACTTGAAAGAGGTCTTCTCTGATTAAGAATGTATTTATGATAAGAATAAAGGATTATTCTATCATAAACACCTTTGAGATTTCCTACGGGCAAGGGTGCCTTGAGCAGTCGTTGATCTCTGCATGCGCTACCTCAGCTGCGCGTGGTGAATTAGACTGCTCCCTACTCATTTAATAGGGGTAGTTTTGTCTTTCTTGGAAAATAATCCACGTGTCAGCTCCATGGTTTTTGGGATTATTTTTTACTCCACAATGTTAGTTTAGAGTAATGAGCTAATTTGGTTCTTGAATTATCATTTGGTGAAAATTAAGTACCAAATTAATATTTTAGATAATACTTGTATTCTCCCTTTGGGGATTTGAGCTCATTCCTCCCTTGTGAATAATGTATCTTGACCCTATAAATTCAACTATCGAAATTGTTCAATTTATTAATCCTCATTTGAAGTTCACTACTACAAAAAATCATTTGAATCGGTGATCATTTAGTCATTCAAATGTATAGAACAAACCAACGATGTAGGTACAATGTAATTAACATATTTATGATCAACCATCCATTTAATTGATACGTGCGGATGATTGAACGCTCTCTCATTCAAATAATTTTTTGTAAGAGTGATATTCAAATGAAGATTTATAAATTGAATGGTTCAGATCATTAAATTTATACGGTCGAGATTTGCAAATAGAGAGATATGTTCATTCCCCATATATGTACACATGTGTTATCCTTTTTTTTTTTTTTTTTTTTGGAAAATTAGTCCTTAGACTCATTAAAAACTGGAAACTTCATCTCTACTACAACATCGAAATTATTGGGATTTAAACTGAAGTTGGTCTATGTTACTTAAGTAACATCCCCACTGCCTATGGTAGTTTGATCTTTTCAATTAAGGCTTTTGACATTTAAGCCCATAATGTGCATTTGTAGCACCGGACTATTTCGAACTGGATTAACTTCAGGGACTAAGTTGGATTAGCTTGAGATGGACTAAGTAGTATAAAGATAATAAAGCGTTTGATACAGTATTAGACTAAATCATAGACTAAATTATTTCTGCACATCAAATGTTTTTTGTCATTTTTAATTCATTTTATTAATAGTTATTATTAGTATACACACTTTTTTTTAAGGGTAAATCGCCAAAATGATCCCTGAGATTTAGATAACTCATCCCTTTGGTCGCTGAGATTCCAAATCGATAAAAGTGGTCCCTGAGATTGTCCACCATCCATTATTTTGGTCATTCCGTTAAAAACTCCGTTAAGTGTCTCGGAGCTCTTGGCCGGAAGTTTGGGCAATTTTCAAAGCTTCGTAACTCAATCGTTTCTTAACCAAATTCGACCTATAATATATCAAAATGAAGATAGGACAGTGTAGAATAAGATTATACCTATTTCCCAATGGTTGCCGGAGATTGCCGGAAAATAGCCTCAAAGTTGACTGGTCCGAGTGAAAACTTGAAAACTCACCGGAAATTGGGTAAACTTTAAACGTTCATAACTTCTTCAATACTCAACGAAATCAAGTGATTCAAAAATGAAAATCATACTTCTCGATGAGAAAAAGAGAATGGTACCTTTGTTGACAGCTAACTCGCCGTGGTTTGGCCGAAAATCGGCTCAAACGTGGCTATCTTGATCTCGAGTTAGCCATTTTTTAGCCACTTTTCGGAAGAATCACGGCGAGTTAACCATCAAAAAAGGTACAATTCTCTTTGTCTCGTCGAGAAGTATGATTTTCGTTTTTGAATCACTTGATTTCGCTGAGTATTGAAGAAGTTATGAACGTTTAAAGTTTACCAGTTTCCGGCGATTTTTCAAGTTTTCACTCTGATCAGTCAATTTTGAGGCTATTTTCTGGCTATCTCCAGAAACCATTGAGTTTTTAAATAGGTATAATCTTATTCTACACTTTCCTATCTTCATTTTAATATATTATGGGCCGAATTTCGTTAAGAAACGATTGAGTTACAAAGCTTTGAAAATTGCCCAAATTTCCGGTCAAGAGCTTCGGGACACTTAACAGAGTTTTTAACAGAATGACCAAAATGATGGATGGTGGACAATCTCAAAGACCACTTTTATCAATTTGGAATCTCAGGGACCAAAGTGATGAGTTATGCAAATTTCAGGGACCATTTTGACGATTTACCCTTTTTTTAATTTGACACTCTCTCTCCCCTGTCTCTCTACTTCTCTTCTTTCATATGCTTCTTCTTCGCATGCCCAGATTGCTCCGATTAAAAATTAAACTCAGAAAAATCAAACCCATACTTTCTCTTGATTTCATTTTCTTTCTCTTCAATTCAAACCTTCTCTTCTTTTAATTTCTTTCTCTTCAAATCAAACATAGAAAAATCCCAAATTGTTTTTTTTTTCAATTAACAGAGGCTTCGTCGGATCTACAAATTCATTTCATTCAATTTCTGCAAATCGCCGTCAATCGATCTTGCAGAAGAAAACGACAAACTTGCAAGCTCATCTTCCTGGCGGAGCGCTTGCGGCCTCAAGGAGGACGCCACAGTCAGTGCTCAAAATTAAACCCACACCGCCAAATCAATCGAAGTTTTTTTTCTGCAGCATCAGTTGTCGTCCTCCCTAGGCTTACTGTAACGGCTTAGCTATGGTGACGGCGCCGGAGAAGAAGAAGGTGGAGCGCGGAGGGACTGGGTATCTAGGTTTAGCAAGCAAAAATTGGGAATTGGACGTAGGCCTCATTTCCTTTCTAGTCCCTGTTAATACCAAAAAATAATATTGTTATGTATTAAATATTTGAAGAGAACAACATACTTCTTAATTTGTAGATCGTAGCTGTTACATCTCAAATCGCCCAGGGGAGTGGATCTTGTAAGCCTTATATGTATATTCTCATCTCTGTTTAACACGAGGCTTTTTAGGAGCTCACTAGCTTCGGAGTTCATCGGAACTCCGAAGTTAAGCGAGTTCGCGCGAGAGCAATCCCATGATGGGTGATCCATTGGGAAGTTCTCGTGTGAGTTTCCAAAAACAAAACCGCGAAGGCATGGTCATGCAAGCTGTATTAATTTGGAGGTTTCGACACATGCTGGTTTGAGTTGCCATGCACTTTGATCAGTCGAGATTTGGAACGCAACAACAGAATGTATCACTTTGTCAACAAATATTTGCTTAGTCAAGACGCCACCACGACGTAGAAATTTAGGAGCTATGGATCACATATATAATTCTGATGAATATTTTGGTTAAGTTAACTAGTATAAACATATGCATGGCTTCAACTTTCTTCAACCAATAAAAGATTCATCTAAATAATTAAATTTATTGTGAAACTGCACTTATCACTCGCGGTAATAGAATTAAGATTTGAAAGCCAGTTGGGGTAAACTTACATGGTAAACTTAGAAACAAAATCTGATGAAATTTCTATTGTTTCTTTACAATTTTTTAAATTTTAGAAATCCTATTAAAATGATATACAATTGGCTATGCTCCAAAAAGAAAAACTCTTTGATACGAGTGAAATTAAATATTTTGGTTGAAGTTATACTTGAAATTATTTTTTATATGTACCATTTAAAGTTCCGTAAAAGATCTTCTCTGTAAACCATTAACATGGGCTCCTCAATTCCAATTCGGAAAAGCAAAAAAAAAAAGATCGTCCCAAAAAAAAAAAGAAGGAATAAGAAGTAATCAATGTTAGATCAAATATTTAGTACAATCGAATCGATATTAAAAGATTAGATAAAATCTAACCTTATAACAAATGCATTCTATTTTTAAAGAGAAATAGAGAATCAAACTTAGGACCTCATGTGAGGAAAGTGATGCTTTTAAATAACTGATCAGCTACAATCTTTGCAAACCTTCATTAAGATAGAAAATGACCAAAGAAGATAAAGTGAAAGCTGGACACCAACAAAAAAAAAATGAAATTGAACATAGTAGTAGAAACACATGAATTTGAGTACTAATGGGGGCGAGGAAACGGAAGACCAAAAGGCATTTGAATAAGAGACGGTGCACCGTTCGGTCTCTTTGATTGTACCCATATGTGAAGAAGTTGAGGCTCCACCATAAAATGAATCGGCAATATGGAGGGTAGCTCAACTAACTTATATGCCCTTACAAGGTCCTTTCTCTCATCAATGGGGAATTCATTCTCAACATGCCCCTTCATGTATGGCGAATTTTTAAGCCTAACACAAATGGAGACATATAGAGCACGTGTGGCTGTTTGGTTTACACAAGTAACAAACTGATCTAACACTATGAAGAAGTTGAGGTTGTTGAATATAAGTTCCACACATTGGGGAATTAAGAAAATAAAATACAATATATAAGTGTATGGTTCTACTCCTAATAACATCAAGGCCTTTTGTGATGATTAAGCTAACCGTATTAGTGTGGTTAGGAGTGGGTTAGTGGTCCGTCTCTCTGAATATATAACATGGTATGAGAGCGGGTTTAATTGGGATCATGTGGATCCGTGTCGTGCCCCAGTTACCAAGTTTAATATAAGTCCCCACATCAGGGAATAAAGAAAATAAAATATAATATGTAAGTGTATGATTTCACTTCTAACAACACCGATATCTTTTTTGTTAAACTTGGCACATAGCAATAGGTGACTAAGTTGAGACAATATCAATGTGGTTAGGAGTGGGCAAGTGACCCGTCTCTTTGAATATCTAACAGATATTTCACCATAAGACAAATTAAAATTATAGAGAGTAGCCCAACATACTTATATGTCATCAATGAAGTCGGAGATAGAAGCCAAAGATCATGAGTTGAAAAATAAACATACATTACTGTGGGATTCATTCTCAATAATATGACCTTGGTTTCTCTAATTAATATGCATAAACCATCCCCAAAACCCCCATAGTTCAAACAAATCTAATCTCCTAAGATAAATCTGGTGATCTCTGTAACCACTGGTTTCATCTCTGGCTTTCTTGGTTCATTTGTAGGTTTTTTTTCTTTTTTTTTTTTATAGAAAAAATTGGGCTTGTGCTTGTCACACAAATTTATTATATGCAGAAACATTATACACACTTGTTGTATGCAACACTTAATTAGGTTTTTTTTTTCTTTAATACAAGTGATCTTATCTTACTATTTTAATTTACACTAGCAATTGTACACATGATATGCATGTGCATATTAAAATTTTGAAAATAAAAATTATAAAGAGAATGGTCGCTAAAATTTTTTGGTGACGACCTTTTAACAATTTTTTGTCATTGAAGAGGTTGTTCGTATTCTTAATAACTGTGTATGGATAATGATTTCATCACTAAATTTATTTTATTTGAGAGAAAAACGTGGAAGATTAAAAGCGGACAACTAATGTGAGGCTTTGAAAGAAAACAGTAAAATTATTTTATATTAATTTACTATATTGCTCATAAGTTTTATCTTGGTTTAATTTTGTTGACAAGGTTAATTTGGTCTTTTCGTCCATATTTAGTTGACAAATATAATTTTGCTAATAGGTAGTTTAGATTATAAAAAAAAATGATGGATTGAACTCTAGATGCGATAAATTAGAGAAAAAAAGTCATAACTATTATAACAATCCATCACTTCTCTGATTAGTAATTTAGCGATTCCACGAATATTACGGTGAAAAACTGAAAGAAAAAGGAAATATTGGTCAAAGACCGCTGCTAGCTTTACAATGACGTCTATAGCAAGAAAAAGAAACCTTGTAAACCCTACTTTACTCCATCTCCCACATGCATGGGTTGACCCAGAATTCCATATATCACTTCTCTCTCACACACACACATATACGTGCACGAAATGAAACACATGCCTGCGTGCACATGCGGATCACACACAAATAGAGTAGTACTGATTAAATGATCATACAAAGATAAAGGAAATTGTATTGGAAAGATGAATTGACAGCACTTTGATTAATGATGTTATGCAAATGATCAAGTCCAAAGAGACTCTCTTTTAAGAGGGTCTTGGATAACATTGCTAGGAGAAGCGAAGCTGCTGAAGTATTGATGTGGAATGCTATTGAAGTCACTGTTGGATAAAAGAAGGGACTTCTGGTCATGATCTTGATGTTGATGATGGTGTTGATCAATCTGGGTTGGTAAGGCTACAGGATCCTGTTGCATCTGGAAGCAAAGTGTCTCTGCCTGAGCCACTGCAAGCTGCATTTGCAGCTCAGAAACTTGATTCTGCAGGAAAGAAATTGCCCCAACACACCCGTAAACCGGGTCTCTCACTCTTGCATTTGCTTCATAAACCAAACTGCTCACAGCATCTCCTCTTTGATGAATGGGAAGCTCCTGAATGAACGAGGAAACCATAAATTATACACGCATAAAAAACCTAATTTCACAATTGTTCTGTTTGAGCTCATCTCTTTCATTATTTTAACAAAATCAGAAAAATACAAAAATAAGAAGAATATAACTTAGGTATTGATCAAGGGGATGCTTGCACTTCTATTGATGAGTGCAAATAACATGCCATCAATTGTACTGGTCTTGATTGCAGTACCCTTCCATAAAAGTGCATGAAGCGAGTGCAAAATAGCGTTTTCCCACACCCTTTTTCATTTATGGGCACTCAAAGTTTATTTATGTCCACTAATTCTCATTTAACTTATTCAATTAAAAAACCATAAGTGAATAGGTGTAGGGAGAGAAAAAGGGTGTGCCGAAATTCAAGTCTAGAGAAAAGAAAGAAACCTGCAACATTTTGCTGACATTGCTAGCACCAAAGACCTTATGAACAATGGCAAACTTATAAGGGTCATCAGAAGGGAAGTATGGGGCAAAGATGCAGTCCTTGGCACACCGGCGCCTCACAACCTGCAAGAAGCACACGGCGAAGAGCCCGATCCCATATTTTACCCTAACAACCCAAAAGAAAAAAGTTTCCCTCTGAAGAACTACTTGATTAAGAAAAGCTAGAAAGCACTTTCTTACTACTGAAAAGTTGTAACAAAAGAGAGCTTAGTAGTGTTGAAGCCAAAGAACTGAAATTGCATATTTATATTGGTTCAAGGATGGTAGCCTTAGGGTAGAATGGTCCCACATGCTTCGCAATTAATAATAATAAAACAAATTCAGACTTAAAAACTGGAATCTGGATATTCCCAACTAGACAAATTAGCAAATTCACACGTTAAAAATACGATTATAGCCCTGAAGTGCGACAGATTTGAGTGTGATTAGCAAGGGCAACTTGGTCAATATTGCAGGGAATAGATTCTTCTCTAGTTGACCACCGCGTAGGCGCGTGAATTGTATGATATATATGTATATATAAGTTGGCAAAAGCCATGCAGCTGTGTTGTTCTCACGTTCTGGTTTGACTCTTCCGTTTCTTTCTTCTGCTGGTGTGTTAAATTTCAGGTCGACCGGCCGAGGGTCCACTCCAACAACATTGATACTATCTTCACTTGGTCACCTGCTCAATCCGTCAGATGTGGGGGGTTTTAATACAAAAAGCCTCGGTGTATGTCAGAGTCGGGTAATTCTATTTAAAGATAATGTAGAGAATGTTCTCAAGCCTTCTGGCTGATGTGGGACAGAAGAATTCTAACACTCCCTCGCACATGAGACCCCATTTTATGGGTCACACGTGAAGTTCCACACATCTGCAATGACATGGAGCCAAGCCTCGTGCGGGGCCAATAGGGACCCACCCATTCACATGGCATCTCTTGGCCTACATGGAGCCAAGTCGAAGCTCACTCGTTTGCGAGGGGTCAAAGGGGACCCACCCATTTCACGTGGCAGTATGGGCCCGTCCCCTGTCTCTGATACCATGTTAAATTTCAGGTTGACAGGTCAAGGACTCACTCTAACAACACCGATACTGTCTCCACTTGGCCACCTGCTCAATCCGTCAAGTGTGAGGTTTTAATACAAAAGGCCTTGGTATAAGTTAGAGTGAGGTAATTCTATTTAAAAGGATTGTTCTCAAGCCTTCTGGCCGATGTGAGACAGAAGAATTCTAACACTGTGTGTGTATTGGTATAGGAGAAATTTTTAATTATAACGGGAATACAAGTGGTACACCATGTGTTTTAATAGAATTTGTGAGAAATTTTATTTTTTAAGTTATTAAGTTTTTAGCACACATATCCCACCATTTGTATAGTGACATGTGATGTACCACTCTGTATATCGGTCACGCTAAAAAATCTCTCTTGGTATAGGAGCAAAAACGAGTAAGAGAAGAAGAAAAAAAGGGGTTAACTATTGAAAACGAATATTAAATTAGAGATTAATTTGAAAGCCATCAATTGGGGAGAGAGGTTACTTAAGGTTAGGGTTTTCGTAAGAGATAAAAATTGAAAGGCATGTGAAACCCTAACCACGACCAAAACACCGAGAGAGATGGACTCATCGACGTGAATGTTTGTTGGCGGACATCCACATGGAAACATACATTTTCACAACATATTTCTATCCCACATCCCCCCAACGCCGCCTAACTTTATAACTTTTCAATCTTTTTTTTTTTTTTTGAATAAATTATAACTTTTGAATCTTTGATCAATGCTCTCACTCGCCCAAAACCACTGCCCCAACAGCCCCCAACGCCGCCTGACTTTATAACTTTTGAATCTTTGATCAATGCTCTCACTCACCCAAAATATATTAATTTCTATTAAGTTTATGTTTACCAAATATTATGAATTTTGTTTTTCTTGTTTTTTTTCATGCAGCTATCTTGACTAACTACAAATATTCTTTGCATACCAAAAGCAAAAAACCTAGCATTCTTTAAATATCAAATTAATATGTTTGCCCCTTTTCCCGGAAATAGAAAAAGAAAATGATTAATTATATCTCATCAGTCATGATAAGACTCATCATAACGATAATCAAACACGTACAATTTACAAAATGATTGGATCCTCAATAGTTCCTCTACACAGATATTGAATAAAATTCATACGATGTTATCCAAAATCAAGCACATCAATTTTGCCCAAACAAATACATGACACGGAGTTTCAGGAAAAATGTAGAGCATGCTCAAAATTTGCATGTTTTTCTCAACTATAGTGTGACAGCTGTTTCTGCACATGCTTTTGTTTGGGGTAACGCTCATGTCACATCGTCTCTGATGGATGCACGTTTAGGCTAACACATGTAGTCATTGAGCTAACAAAACCAGACTAATATCACAAAACCAATTGGCAGCTAGTAGAAAACTTATGTTGGCAACTGGTTGACCTTGCTTTCATGGTGGAATAACCCCTCCTGATTATTTGTAGCCAGAAATTGAGAAGAAAATTGAGATTTCATCGTAAAACTAATTGATAATATGAGAAATAGTCTAACCTCTTATAAGCCCATGCAAGGTCCCTCTCATTCTCAACACGCCCCCTCACGTGTGGCGAATTTACGAGCCTAACACGTGGACAATACAACAAGATGACGTTAAGCAATGTGGCCGTTTGGCTTCACACGTGGAAGAACCTTACTCTGATACCATAAAAAATATTAAAATTCCATTATAAAATCAATTGGCAATAAATTGTACAACTTAGCTTGTAAACTAGTAAGTTCTTAAGGCACATGCACCGTTCATCCATCGCTGCAGTCATGCAAGTCATGAAACGTTTTATTATAATTCAAATCTCCTGTCACTAGGCCCACCAACCAACCTGGACTTTTATTTTTATTATTCCTACCGGATAAGGATTGTTTCCAACTTTTAATCCAACGGTCTTATGATTTTAGATTTTGGTAAATTTTTTGTTGACATGAACTATTGAAAATAAACTTAAAAGATAAAAATTCGAATCGTTAAAAAACATTACAAAATGATCACCAAAAAATACGTGTAAAAAATAATGTCACACATCCATCTCGACCATGTATTTGTATCGAATTCAAATCTTTCATCGTCTCAATTTTATTGGGAGAATACAAGTGGTAAACTTTTTTTGGCACATGCACGTACAAACATTGAATGGCCTCAAGCCATCCATTAATTAACACGTCACACGAGTGACCAGTGTTAGACTAAGTTGATTCGGTTACAGCCAAAACTAATTGAAGTGTTTAAGTTAATCTGTAACTCTTATCTCATAAGAAGTTGGATAAGTCTAGGACTTATTTCAAATGCTTGTAGGGTCAAACAGTCTATGCTATCTTTGCTTTTCTGTTTGTATTGTTGAATTTCAAATACTCCATGTAAATAGGGTTTTCAAACACTGAATGTAATCTTCACCGTATTATAAATACATGCAACCTAATGTTCGAATGAGTATGCAATTAAAGTGAAACACTCAGTCCCTTAAGTTTTAAATAGTTTCTAGAGCCCCTATCGTCTAACGACAAAGATCATTTTTTTCTGCCCATCATCGTATCGTATTCAAAGGCCAAGAATAACAACAACATCAATACTACCCAACCCACCAACTCTACCCTCCCCCCTCCCGTTTTCCAACCTTTATAAGATAAGAGTTACAGATTAACGTAAACACTTCAAGTAGTTTTGATTGTAACCGAATGACGATTTGGTCTAACAACCAGTACTACTAAGTTTTTTCTAATTTTAAAAAGAGAAACTAAGGGATCCACGAACTTTTGTCACTCGTATTTTTTGCACAATGTTTTATATTTGCACAATATTTTATAATGTTAATACGGAAATATGACAGATAGTACATGAAGAATGATCACTTTTGAAAGAATCCCTTAACATTTCTCGTAAAAATTCTTAGTCACATGTATACATTGTATTAAAAATCAATAAGCATATAAGATAATACTAAACCTCCACAGAGAAATTAATGTGACCCAATTAATGAGATCCGACATGAAGCAAAGGCTTAAGAGTTTATTAAAAAGGAAACCCGTTTCGAGAGAGATTGAAACTAAAACAAATAGTGGTTCTGAATCCCTAAGACCTCTTCTCGCTTCCTTGCATTTAATGATCTCCACGATTCCAAGCTTCTAATCTTTTGTCCCGAGAAAAAAAAGCTCTCTTCCCCTAGTTGTCATGGCATTTGTATATACTTTTCTACTTAAGGAGAAGGTTTTAGATTCGACTACTGAGGGTGATGAGTTCAATATTAAATTAATACGACTAGTTTATTATGTGAAGTGAGTTTTTAGTGTGTAGGAAACACAGTATTGTACATCAGATGTTATAATACAAGTAATTGGATACTTGAAAAAAAAATTTCCAACCATTTGTATTATGACACTTAACGTACCTAGTTGTGTACTTTGGCACACTGAAAAATTTCTCGACTATGTGGGGCTGTAACGTTGGATTCTAATAGTATTCTTCTCTACTTATAAGCAAAAGATTTTAGATTCGAACCTAAATCCCACATCCCTCGGTATAAATATTGAAGAAGTTAAGGTTTCACCCCAAAATCAATTGGCAAAATAGTAACTAGCCAACTACGAATAAGCACATGCAAAGTCTTTTTTTTTTTTGGCGATATGCGATTAATACTCTGAACAAATATATCATTATAAGAAGGAAAAATGTTGAATTTGTTTTACTGCATTACCTCAGAAAACGCGCATGTTTTTAATTAATCTTATACAAGTTTCAGTTTTCTATTTCAAGTTTCAAACCCTAAGCGCTCTAGGAAGAAGAAAAACTTCTACGCTCTAGACGGCGAGATCTATGTTAAACCTTTTGTTTTACTGTATACTTAAAGCAAATGAATAAGGTGGAGGAAAAACAGACATCTTTCACCAACTTAGAGGAAATTAAAACATGCAACCTCCGATGCATACATTGAATGCACTTGCCTTGGTCATATGGAGGATTCGACTCTTGAGATACATGCATGCATATGGTTTTCTTAAATGGTGGGATAACAATAGAAGCCATATAATAAGTTTGACGATGGCAGCCTCAACTTCGATCATATATATGTGGCGCTACACTAACCTCAATTTCAATTTCAAGTTGCTTGAACAAAGTCGTTTGCTTGAACCATTTTTCCACTATCAACTCAATACAACGAAAAACAAATATATAGGCTTGG